GAGAAGAAACTGAAAATCCAAATTAAAATGCATGACTGAGATAGGAAAAGCTTTTGGAGACCGGGCTGTCCAGGGTTAAGTTGCTGAACACAGGGACCTCTGGCTCGGCTGGAAAAGTGCTTTCACAGGGCTCTGAAGTAAAGATAACACTGAGGACACGGCTGCAGACTCACCCTAATCCAGAGCAATAAGGCTTCGAACCTTAGAGAACAGACAGTTCTCTTAACTGGCAGAACTTACTGCCTTTGTTTCAACTTCTCGGGCTTTGGGCTTTCAAACCGTCCCCTTCCTTCACCCCCAAGTGTGGGAATAAGTACGGGTGTCCAGAGAAGTTCTTTATCCCTACTCCAGAGAGTTTTTGCTCCTGAGAGAGAGTTCTGACCTTCCCGGAGCCCCCAAAATCATACCACTGGTCTCTTTTACTTAAGCTGTTTGCCATTTGCTTGTTTAGGAGATTGGGGCTAGGCCAAGACCCCAATAAAAAAACTATGCCCACGTCTGCCTTCATTTTACCTTTTCATCCCCCGGCTCAGGCACATGAGCAAACTTGCACAGTGATCGCTCACAGCCTCGGATGGTGTTAAAATGAAACTTGCAGTATCTGTGGGGGATCATCAGCCCCAGTGGCTTCTGGAACATCTAGAAAATTAGAAAAAAATACCTTTCTGTGTTAATTGAAAACATGGCCCATGAGAAAACATCTGAAACAACAGAAACGTGTATGTATTTTTTGTGGTGCTGGGACTCAAACACGGGGCCTTCAGACACACTAAGCCTCTGCCCTACCGCTGAGTTACACTTCCAACCCTGAAACAACAGAAATACTTCAAAGTAAACTGTTTACTCATTTGCTAAGAAAAGATACCCCCCAAATTTACATTTGAAACAATTTAGAGTGATCTGTCTGTGACTTTTCTTAATCTTTCTTAGTGTAAAATATTCCACCAAGGTTAGAGTTTGACTTTACATCTTTTAGAACTTTACTTTTAGGTTCCTAGCAAACTTGACAGGAAAGCACGGAAATATCCCATGGACTCCTAGCCTGACGCGTGCCACCTGGCCTCCCAGCCCCTCTTTCCTGGCATCCTTCTGCCTCCCCTTTCACAGAGAGTTAGCCTGGTTACAGCCTGCATCATATCCCAGATGCACCATGAGAACCAGATCTCCTTGGCTTCTCTGACAGGAACAGGCACGCAGTGGAGAAGGCCACGGACCACGTCGCAGAGAGCGCTTCCGTCAGCACCCTCCCCTTCACGACGGGCGCTCTAGTTTTGGTTCGGGGCTCTCCTTTCTCCGCTTCTAACTCTGACGTTGTGCATATGCTCTTTACCATGAGTCCCCACTCAAAACCTGAATGTCTGGGACTGCTTACAAATGATGACAGACTAACAATCAGAAGGGGCCCAATGTCTGGGTTACTTTTTCTTAAGTAAGAAAAAGTATTTTTCTTACCTCTATATTTTTTTCCCTTTTGAATATTTCACAAGCTTCAGGATTCTGCAGCTTGAGGACAGAAGGTTTTCCGGGAAATCTGACATCTAGAAACGATTAGAATGGCATTTTACAGCAGCCTGTTCCCCTCCTTCCCATCAGAACAATGGACACTACCAGCTGCTTTGAAGTTTCACTCTGGAACATACATGTTCCCTTTACAGACTGTACTGCTATGTGTGTTACTGTACAACAGGGCATTTTGAGTATCGTTCATGCATTTCTAGGTCTGAATTAACACTTCTCACTGTAAGCTGCAGAGGACTTTCTTAAAAGCCTTACACTGTAGCACTGAGCACTGCATTCAAATGATACACCTCTAACAGACGAACACCACACACAGTAAGCCTGAAGGAAGGATGCTACCAAACCCAGTGCTATGGACTGGACTGGGTTCCCCTGCCAAACTGAATACTAATGCCCTAACCTGAGATGTGACTGTGTTTGGAGATTGGGCCTTTACAGCTCAGGCCTTTGGGTCAAATGAAGTCATACATATGAGTCCTTGTAGGAACAGACGCCAAAGCACTCTGTACTTGCACATGTCCAAGAAAGGATGTGTGAGCTTAGCAAGAAGGGAGCCTTCCGCAAGCCAGAAACAGCGCCCTTACCAAAAACTGAGTCCCGCTGGAACCTTGTTCTCGGACCTTTAGCCTTCACAACCGTGTGAAACCGGTATCTATGGGTTAATTTACCTGTCTCTAGTATGGTGCTACGGCAGCCCAACCTGGCTAATATGCCAGCCATTACTCCTTCATGGTGGTCTTTTTTGAGAACTAGGGCACTGTAAAACACTCTTCTGTACAAATAAAGTATTTCTAGTTTTAAGTCATTTTATTTGTGACCTCCGTAGCTTCCAGATATAACAGGGAACTGTCTGAAGTCTTGCTGCATAGTTCTGCAGTCATTCGCCCTGTGAAAAGGGGAAGACTTTTTGAGAGGACAGACCTGACTACTGTGAACTTGCTGCTACAGTGCAGAACACCAGGCAGCAGGAAGTCAGCACCGCAAAGGCGCGGGAGAGTCAAGCTCATGCAGTATGAAGTGATTATTTAGCTTCCCAATTCATTCTTCGATGGAATTTTGTTCGGAGCATTATGTATCATTAAAGAAAACCTGACATAAACCTTAAAATAGATATGCAAATGCATGAAATTAAAATAGAAATATTTTAGGTATTTGCTGTAACTTACCTGTACCACTAACACGTAACACATATTTCAGAAATTGCCCCATCAAAAATATTAAAGGTAACTAATTTTGACACAGTCCGTACTTGTTTCTATTTCTCTCTCTAGATTTTTTTGTTTCTGATGGGAACATCTCCTACACAGTTTCTACGTTACCCAAAGCCGACAGGACTGTATTAAGAAAACGAGTTTACCATTCATCCAGGGCTTTGGTACTGCGTTCTCTTGACGGCCACTTAGATTCACAGGGGGCGCTGACAAGCGCAGAGGTTTGGGGCTCAGTGTCGCTAACTGACATTCACCAACCATGATCTCTCCATTTCTAGAATCTTTGCTGTGTAAGCAGAAAAACCGCACTCAGAATTTAAATTTGTTTTAAAAATACTGAAGTAATGAGAATCAAGTAAAAATGCAATCTAATACTCTACAGATTTTATATAGCATAGGATACTTCAATACTTTCAATAGAATATTCCTGCTTGAATACAAAGCCAGAACTTGTTAAATGGTTGGGGCAGGGACGGGAATGGGTGGTATGGTTAAAACTAGAGCAAAAACTAAGACAGGCTCTTATACTGCCCAGGCTGGCCTTGAACTGGGTTCAAGCAACCCTCTCATCTCAGCCTTCCAATGTAGCTAGACTACATGTGATTTTTTTTTTTTTTTTTTGGTCTCTTTTGAGACAGGGTCTTGCTATGCAGTTCAGGCGGGCCTTGAGCTCACTTTGTAGCCCAGGCTGGCCTCAAACTCACAACGATCCTCCTGCCTCAGCCTCCCGAGTGCTGGGATTATAGGCATGAACCACCACGTCCGGCTGCGATTTTTTTTTTTTTGATCACACCAGACAAAAGGTTTGAGGAGGTGCTAGGCTGATCTAATTCAGAAAATGCCAACCAATTACCGACAGTGAAACAAAATGAGTGAATTATATTACTCTTCTTTTACCAATGGTTTTACGTCCATGGTTTCAGTTACCTATGGTCAGTCGTGGTACAAAAGTATTAAATGGGGAACCCGAGAAATAATGTTTTGAATCACATACTATCTCTAAGTAATGTGATGAAATGCTGTCTTGTGCCAACTGGGAAGTGAACCATCCCTCTGCCCTGTCAATCCATGCTACCCGCGAGTTAAGCACTTAGTAGCAACCTTCATGTTAGGCCAGCTGGCTCGGTTCTTCACCACCTATATTCAAGTAGAGGCCACTGCACATCACAACGCTTGCTTGTTCACCCCCCCACTGCTTTGTGTGGGATCTGCATCACCTCACCTCACTGCAGGAAGCCTAGGCACAGGCCGGGAACTGTTCTCATTTACACAGCTTATTACAGCCTACTGTTAGGATTGTTCTATTATTGATGAATGTGGTTAATTCCTTACTGAAAGTAATTTATAAATTGAACTTTTTTATAGGTTTGTATGTATATGAAAATTCATATTCTGTCTAGGGTTTGGTACTAGCTGTAGTTTCATGTATTCTTGGCAGCTCTGGAATGCACCCAAGGGGAAAGGAGACTACTATACAAATTGTATTTAAGGGTTACTCTATATAATAAACCTATTACACATTCTTCTAGGGAGAGAAGGCATTGAAAACGTTACTGTTTCAAAACTGCCGATTTAAGCAGCTATAACCATGCCCAAGTATGTGACATCCTACGTAGTCAATTTTATAAACAATTAAACTGGAAGTTACTTATCAAGGAAAATAAATTACTTAAGCCAGGAGGACTCATAGATAGGAATGAGTTTACTTTTTAAGAGACTTATCCAACATGGAGACACTGTAATTTTTTTAACTCAAAAACAATTCCAGTAAGTTTTCACAGTAGGAGTTTTCTGGGCCACAGCAGTAAAAACAGTAAGAAACAGGGCTTATACCTAGTTGAAATTTAGTACCACTGATGTAATTTTAAAATTTCACGCAAGATAACAGTTCTCTTCTGAACTTGGGATATCACTAATGTGTAGCCACTGTGCCCCCCTCCATAAAACAAAAGCAACAATGTAAAACGAAAAAGGGGAGATTATGGATTTTTACAGATGAAAGAGACTATGTAGTAAGTCCTTTTTTGGATTGGATGACTGAGGCCCGGGGAGATATAGTGACCTGACCAACATCACAAGGGGATAACTGTGGTACAGCCAAGTGATAAAACTTTTCAGGCTGTGATGACACTATTTTAGTTTGCAGGTCAAGTATTTTCATTAGAAAAACAAAGTGACCTTGTAATTTTGTTTAATAATATCTCCAAATGGTCACGAACCATTCTGGACTTGGATGCCAACCTAATTCTTCCCTATCCTTTTCCTTAACAGTCCTCAAACCTAAGCACGTACCAGGACGAGCTTCTCCTGAACACAGGTCAGTGCGCCCCTTCGCAGAGTTTCGGACCCAGTATCTACGTGTTCCTATGGGATGCTGCTGTCTAAGCATCAGCCTTTGAAAACCACCGCCTAGACATAAATAGACTTGGACATGGCCATCCTCTGACCTTGCTCTAACACAAGGGCAGCAGGGTGAGGGACACTCCGAGGGTGAGGGCACTCCTCAGCGACAGTCATCACCATTGTACACAGAACCAATCAGGAAAGTGCTATTTTTCAGTTCTTCATTTGAGTCTGGTCCTGTTCACAGGACCGATCAGAAGATACTCTTTTCAAGCCCTCATTTACACATGCAGGGAGCCAAGCAAACTTTCCTACAGGGCAGTTTACTGGCATGTCAAGTGACTGTGTGACAGGATGACTGTCCCAGTGCCTTAGCTGGCATCAGAGAGGCAGCCCAGGAATTCCGACGTAAGAGCCCTCTCCCTTATCCTCAGAGGGCCTACCCCGAGGCCCGTGAGCCTGCCCACCAGCCAGCTGTCACTCTGAGAGACGTACTTCCTTTCTACCTTCAATAAATGGACACTCTCGCCGCCTTTTCAGTGTCTTGACCAAGTCTTTGTGAGGACACCGACCTGGAACGAAGCCCCACAGGACCCTGCACCCAGCACAGGTGCGCCTCGTCCCAACAGCAAGGTGAGAGAGAGGACTGGTCGGGCGGTCCTAAGGAGTCTTCTGATTCTAGGTGCGGTGGTTTTCCATATTCTAGTGACTGTGCTCTCAGCTCTTGGTACTAATCACTGCATCTATGCAAGATGCTTTCAAAATTCAACATTCATTTGCTTTTAGCCACTGTGACCTTCACAAAAGTCACACATGCATTCTTTCCTTTTATCATCACTCCTTACCTTTCCTCAAAAAATATGCTTGTGGCTCAAAAAACCTACAGACAGCTGTAAAGTAGCCTAGAATACCCTTTATATCTGGGGGGCATGTGACGTATTAATTATAGTCATGTATGGTTTGTGGTATAGTAGCTCAAGCATACACAACACAGCACGAGAAACACACCCAAAATACAAATTGGTTCAGTGACAACTGTGGAGTGTGATTGGAAATAATGTTACAGACCTTTTGCAAACTTCATAAATATTTTCTTTGTCTTCTTTAACAGTCATCTTGTCAGAAATTCTATACTGTGAAGAGATTACAGTTAGGAACAGGAGTAAATACCTCTGTATAATGTATAACTATAAAACTTAGCAGATTTTTAGAATGTATTAGATGTTAAACAATTAAGATTATGGCCAACCGTGAAAACAATTCTATACTATGCAACTTAAAATACCAAGTATTGACTTATAAAATTTCCACTGCTGAAGAGAAAAATTAATGTAAATCAACACATTTTCTAGCTTTTGCTATCTTTTAACTGTATAAGCTACTATTTCAAGTTATGGGCAGGTAAAATTGTGTTTTTCAGGAAAAAAAACATTGAGTTATTTTTATTTTTAGATGGTATTTATGAATATAAGATATTTTTCTAATGAACTATTTAAATGTATTTTAAACACAGCTGTATTTAAAGACACTTTAGAAGTAGCTTTTGGGCAATTATATTTTTATAAGAAAGTTATACATGATGAGAAATGGCAGTGGCAGATCACGTGCTTAGCATGTGGGAGGTCCTGGGTTCAATCCCTAGTGTTTGTGAATGTGCACAAGTGCGCTCACACACACCCAAAAAGAAAGAAACAGTTATGCATGCTCAAATATTAAACTTTTGTAAACAAGCTCCAAGAAAATGAACCCCCAAATCACCTGTCACTCCAGCAGTCAGAGATAATCACTTAATATGGTGCTAGTTAGTATCTTGTCAGTCACTTAAAACATCCATAGCAGGGCTGGGGATGTAGTTCAGAGGTACAGTGCTTACTTAGTATGAGTGAGACTCTGGGTTCAATCCCCAATACCAAAGATAAAAAAGTGCACTCAGATTTTCCAATAATGGTATCACACTATTATTAGAATGTTTAGAAACCTACCAAAAAAAAAAAAATCAACGGAAAGACATGAAATATTAACAAATACAAAGGACATAGGCTGTAGCTCAGTGGTAGAGCATGTTTAATATGCAGGAGGCTCTGAATTCCATTCCCAGTACCCTCCTCCTCCACACAAATCAGCACCAAAAAGCAAGACAGACCACATTCTTGGATAAAGGTAAAGATGTTATTTCTGTCCAAACTGAATTATACATTTAAGACACTAATTTACTGTATGATTTTTCAAGCACAATTAGAATATATGAAAGAGAACCAAAATATTTTTAGATTTATACATTTCAGTATCTTCTAAACAAACCTTCTTTACTAGTATTTTTTTAATTTTTATTTTTTTTTGGAGGTAGGGTCTCACTATGTAACCAGGCTGGCCTTAAACTTGTGGTGATCCTCCTGCCTTAGCCTCCCAAGTGCTGGGATTACAGATGTGTGCCACCATGCCTGGCTTTTACTAGTATTTTTATCTTTCAGATAAATGACAATATATTAGTGTGCATAAAGTGAGCAATCAACAAAACACAAGTAAAATATAGGTACATATATAAAAATTGAGATATTGAAAATAGTACTTGAAATTTGTGAGAAAATTAATAAATGGTGGAAAACCTAATTCTTTACTTGGATGGGAAGTTAGGTGTGGTGCCAATTCATCATACGTCAAAATATCTTTTAAATTCATTGAAGATATAGATGTAAAAAATAAATTTTGAATGTAGCACAAGGAAATTTAAAAAGTAGAAAAAAATATATATATATTGGAGCAAAGAAAGCCTAAATGTGACATTAAAGGCAGCTATCTGGCAAAACAGAGAAAAAGGTTCCACTGTTTCTACATTTTCTCCCAAGATAAATTTTTTAGTTTGATAAAAACATTTAAACATAATAAATGACATTTAAAAAAGCAATAGAAAATCTGTAGAAGAAAATTTTAATCTGATATACAGAAAGGTTTTTCTAAATACAACTCATAACTCAGACATTAGAAAATGGATACACTGGACTGAAAAAAACACAAGGCTTTCTACAAGATGAAAAGCTTCTCAACTAAGTTAAGACAAATGAAAAACAGGAGAAAGTATGATAATATATATTATCCTATATTATAGAATAGTTCCTACAAAGAAGACTGAAATCCGAGAAGAAAAATAGGCAAAGGACATAAATAGGAAGTTCACAGAAAAAAATGTAAGCGGCTTTTAAACACAGTAAAAGGTGCTTAACTACACTCTGAAAAGAACTGTCTATTAAAACAAAGTCATTTGCAAAAATAAGCAGACGGACAAAAATTTTAAATAAAATGAGTGGGTGCGAATATGGGAAGGAAACAGCAGTCTCACCAATGTTGGAAACAAATCCAAGCAATGTCTATGTAGGGCAATTTGATAATTCTCCTTCTAGGAATTAATCCAAAAATGCTTGCACATAGGCAAAAGCCTTATGTTCAAGGATGTATACTGCAGCAATATTTATTTACTTTTTTGGAAGACACTACATAGCCCAGGCTGGCCTTGAACTCCCAAAGATCCTCGTGTCTCAGCCTCTGGAGACCTGGGGTTACAGGCATGAGCTACTACACCCAACTTAATTTTTTATTTTTTTAAGAGTAGGAAAATTTTGGGGGGAAAAGTAATGGGGAATAGGAATAGCTCCTGAGAGACAGGAGGGGTCCCTAATGGGTTGCCTCGCAATATTAAAATAGCCGAAAAAAAAAAGGAAACAAATGTCTATCAACAGTCGGCCTTGTTAAAAAATATCTGTTAGGCAAATAATTAAGACATTAGTGGGCCTGAGGGACAAAAAGGGAGTGAATCCAAAACAGTATGCATTGCCTGGTAAGAAACAGACTTCAGCATATAACACATTCATAATCACTTCATAGCTCCCAGACCTGAAGTGGTCCACGGGCACAGTGGCAGCTTATGGAGCACACAGCACCCATCTCTTCTGAACCCTGGCCACGGGGCGTCCAGCTCTAGGACAAAGCCCAGCCATTCCTGGCTGCCACAGCCACAGCCCAGAAACGTCAAGAAAGGAGGTGCTACGCAGAGACCCTCCCGCCCCGGGCAGGGCCTGCTTGCTTAAGAACTTCTGTGAGTTTCAGATGCAGCTGAAGCCCCTCAGGGAACACTGACCACCTGCAAAGGACAGGAAGACGTTCTGCAGCTCCGCAGTGACCTCGGAGTAAATGTGGCCCAGCATCGCGCCACTCCAGCTCCTGGACCCAGGGGTCACTTCTGAGAGCGTAAAAACCTGAGCAAACTCGCACGGGCAGACGCCTTCCTGCACCGCCCGCCTTCTCGCTGGAAGGTGCAGTCTCGGTACCCGTCTCGCAGTCAGCTCTGCCTAGACGCCTGCACGGCCTGTGTGTCCTGACTGAGTCCTCCTTCCAGGGCATGAGGAACCGAGGACGGAGGCAGGGAGGGGCTGGCCCCCTGCCACGTCAGGACCCAGCTGTATCCAGATAGCAGATAATTATGCAAGTATAAAATCATGGCATTATTACACACACTGAAAGGGAAAAAATTTCCATTATGTATGTAGTAGATAAAAAAGAAAGCAAAATATGGAAGGGTATGCTGTTGTTTGCATGAAATTCAAAATAGGTCCATTGCGGGAAATGGCAGAGTATCTCCTATTGGGATAATCTCTTTGCAGAAAACTATAAAGTTTGGACAGAATATTTCAAGGTTTCTACTTGAAAAGCCGGCACAGCCTAGAGGTCTACACTCAGAGGGAAGGCACTGGGCAACTCTCGCTGTCACGGCTTTATTCCCAGAGGAGAGCCGAGCTGGAACCACACAGGTAAGCCACAAATTTGCCACAGTGACACAGAGAACAGGGAGACAGTTTCGGGCAAAGTCAGAAGCTGGAAAGAGGCTGGGGATCCTGGAGGAGACAGCCTGAGAGACGAGGCCCCTAACTTGGCTCTAATCTGGCCGGTCCTTGAATTACATAAGGAAGACTCCACACAGCTCAGCTAAGAGTAGTAGAAATGAACAAAGATTTCAACCTCTTCCTACTGCAAGGGAGAAACTCAGAGGTTATATTCACCAAGTTAAAACCTAAGCATGCAACTACCATCTAGCTCAGCAATTACTGCCACTTATCCACTGAGATACTAAAACTTAGATACACAAAAAACTCATACATGAATGTCTATGGACAGCAGTTTGATTTGTAATTGCCCCAAACAGGACACAACCCACATGTCCTTCAGCGAATGCACAGCTCCAGCTATGGTACACCCATGCCCTGGTAGTACTAAGCAGTAAATTATACACACAACGACCTGGACGAATAATCCCCTGGGTGAAAAAAAATGGGAGGCGGTTACATACTGTGCGATCCCATTTCTGTAACATTCTTGGAATGACAGAATTAGAGGGAAGAAGACCAGATTAGCGGTTGTCAATGGTTGAGGAGCGGCTGCAGGAGTAGGCGGGATGAAAGCAGGTGTGAAAGGGCAGCACGAGAGCTCTTTTTGGTAACAGAGGTGTTCTGTATCTTGACTCTATTATTACACTACTGCCAATATTCTGTTTGTGATATTGTACTACAGATCTACAACAGGACCACTGAGAAGCTAGGTAGGGTACACGAGATTTCTATGAATTTCTTAGCTGCATATGAATCTATAGTTATTCAAAAAAGTAGGATACTGCTAAAGCAGTACTTATGGATAAATTTGTAACACTAAATGCCTCAGTCACCATATAATGTTCCCAATGAATAGCCTTAGCCACAACTTTAAGAAATTACAAAAAGAACAAATTAAATCCAAAGTAAGCAGAACCAAAGAGAAAACTCAGAGCAGAAATTAGTGGAACAGAAAACAAAAAAGCAAAAGGGAAAACCGGTAAAACTAAAAGCTAGTTCTTTTTGAATTATCAATATGATCAATAATTCTCCATTATTTACTTTTTGACTTCAAACTGAGTGTGGGGGGGTGGCAAGGTACGGCCCACAGCCTATTTTTATAAATTAAAGGTTTATTTCAACACAGCATCCCTGTAACCAGGGGCAAAAATGGGTCTTTAAAAATCAAGACTTCTTTCTTTTAAAGATAAGCTCCTTCTGCAAACTTCTCATGCTGAGGGCTTAAAACTGCTATTCTCTATCAGCTCAGATGAACAGACAGGGAAGCAAGGTCTCTGTCGCAAAACTAGCATATCCCTCTAAAAGAAATATGCAGACAGTGGCCCAGGAGGGCAGGGTCCAGAATGGCTGGGGCAGGGGTTTGTGTGTGCAGACAACACAGCTCACTGTATTCTTCCCTCTCTCCTTGGCACACTTAACATAGGAAGGCATCTGAGACAAAGACCTCTTTGTCTCCCTAAGAGCTAGCTTTGAATAAACCTTTTCTTTCCTCCAAAAGCGCCTCCTGTGCTTTCTGGAGAGCAATGGGCAGTTGGGACCTTCATGGCCAGTAACATCTGTGTACACCATGGGTTGAAGCCTCCTTTTGTGCCACAAAAGCAGCATTAAGGCTTTGCAATCATACCTTATGGCCATGAAACCATCAATATACTCACTATCTGGGCTGATCAAAGAAAATTTGCTGACTCCAGTAGTGGATCCAAGAGACTACAATGTAACCTCAGACAAGAGACTGAGTCTAAGCCGCCAAGTGGCCTCATTTGTGAAGGAAACCACAGCACACATCTCATCTGCACAGTGAAGGATTAACTCAGCGTGTCTGGATTATTTATACCCTCACATTATTTATTCCCTCTGGACGATTTACACACTCATACTTATACCTTCATATTTATACCCAGAGCAGGCCTCTGACCTGCTCCTGGGAGGTTGTTTCTAAGTCCTTGGAATTGTTTTGTCTAGCATTTGTTTACGGGTCTGGGGTCACGGTGGACACCCCATGCCAACGACTTATTGCACGGACCTTGGGTCATGGGGTTAGTCACTCAGAGTGAGACTGAATGATGAAGGGCTGCCTCGCCTTTGTGACCGACTCCAATAGAAGCTACCTCTGGAGCTCCAGTGATTGGCAAGACTCCATGTATGCGACCACACAATTTCTGGGAGAGGACGCTAGAAGAAGACTTCTTTTTTTTTTTTTTCTCCGGTACCAGGAACTGAACTCATGACCTTGCGCTTGCCAGGCAGGCGCTTTGCTGCTGAGCTAAATCCCCAGCCCCGAAGAAGACTTCTGATACCTGCTTGTCTCTTGGACCCTGCTCCATGTGCACCTTCCCTTTGTTGATTTTAATCTGTACTTTTCTGCTATGAGTAAAACAGCTTTGTCAACCTGTGAGTTCTTCTGGAAGTCCACTGAAATCTGAGGGTGGTATTGGTATTTATGATAACAAAGGATATAAAATGGAAGTCAAACTTTTTTCTTTTAGTTATCTATAGGGCATCTGTAAGCCCACGTGAAGAGTTAAAGTTCATTGCAAAAATGGCTATGTTATTATATTGCAGGAATGCAATGTGCTATCCCATGCTAGGATATTTAACAGTGGCTAGTGGGCATAGTATAATAAAGCTCAATACATGCTGGTCATCGTCAAACCATTAATCAAGCACTGTGAGACTTTTGTTCTTGTTATGTGACCTCTCTCGAAAGGCTATTTTCAAATGAGGTTTGCATTCTCAAACTATTCAATGAATTTTTGAGTATTGCCAAATGCTCTAAGATCTAGAGATTCAGTAGTAAACAAACTGGACCAAAGTCCTTATCTTCTCCTCCTCTTCTAACAAGAGGAGAGAGAGAAGCAAGAACAACTAAATGTATTCAGGAGGGCATTCCTAATCTAATCTCAAGACCTGAAACCCAAAATTCTCAGAATTCAAAACTTTGAGTTTACCTGGAAGCTGTCATTAGCAGTTTGGAGGCTATGGCTGGGGGCTACTTGAAAAGCAAACACATGATTTTTTCTTTTACTTTCTTAATTATTAGCTACCAATAAGATCTCCACAAACTTGTGGTTTCAAACTTTAGCTCAAGAGGCTGTAACATCCACTAAGTGTGCAGAGAGGTTTAGGCACACACAACGTCTAGACCATGGCTGAGGGGGTTGGAAAACCTCAAGGTCTCAAACTAAAGGAGGTATCCACCTAACGACTGACGAGGACCGCCTTCTCCCTAAAGTAGGCCAACACAACCCATCCTGTTTGTACAACAACAACGCTGTCAGGGATTACTATAGGAATGGAAAACAGGCAGAATCCTGGGCTCTTACCTGCTGTCCACTAAAACATTTGTGTTTTCTCTCGGGACCATCAGGGACATAGCCATTTTTGCAATGAACTTTAACTCTTCACGTGGGCTTACAGATGCCCTATAGATAACTAAAAGAAAAAAGTTTGACTTCCATTTTATATCCTTTGTTATCATAAAACTTGAGTCAAGTTCCTTCTGGTTGGAACCACCATCTTCCAGTAATTTGCCAAAATGCAGAACACAAAGGGGAAGAGGAGGGGAACCAGGTACATGTTCTCCAGGCCTTTTAGAAAACACAGGTTGTTCCTTTGATCACACATGTGAATCCATAAAAAGGGTGATGCAGACATCAAGGGAACGGGTACTGTGCGAAAAGAAACACCACACAAATGTTACCATGGCAAAACAGGAAGAGTCTACGGTGTTACCCAGCATGCTCCTGGCATTCTTGTAAACAAGCAAGGGCAAGATACTTCCCAAGAGCATTAATGTATGTTCTGAACATATTAAGCACTCAAAGACTTGAGATAGCTTCCTGAAACATATCAAGAAGAATGATCAGAAGAAGGAAGCCAAAGAGAAAGGTACCTGGGTTCAACTGAAGCTCCAGCCTGCCCTGCCAGAATACACTTTGTGACAACCAGTGGGAAGGAGCCTGAGTTGCTGGAACCTATCCCCTATGAATTCATGGCATAAACTGAGGATGCAGCTCTGCTATTCAGCACCTAATTGGTGGCTAAGTGTTCTAGGCCCTACTTTAAAAAATCATCCCGTGTTGTAAGGATGGTTTTCTTAATTGAAAAAAACAAAAACAAAGCAACGAGTCAAATTCCTTCTCATCTCTCTGTATAGATAAGTTAATCATGTACAGTGTCTGTTTAAAAACAAGGTGATTAGCCCTGAATTTACATGATCTCACCCTCTTCAGGACTGAAGATCCTAGGATGCTGGTTTCCAGGGACTTTCAACATGCCTGGGAAGACTCTAGCCACTGTCCTGAACTTGTGATCACCTGGGAACAAAAGCATCTCCCAGCCATAAAGATTCCAGACCTGTGACACCAAGGTTGAGACAATCATCAACAGGGCCTCAGTCCACCAGCTAACCCTTGAAAGCTGGCCTCCCGCCTTTGCAGGTGGGCCAGTCTGAACCCTTATTTCACAGTGTTCCTGCTCCAGCTGTCTAAGTTGGAGTCTCTCCCTATCTTCCAACTCTCCACTTAAAATTTTTCTGTAAATTTGTGCTTTAGTTTTAATTTCCATTATCATTAAAAGCCAAGGATTTAAACTACCTGGTGACATACCCATGATACCCCAAAACTTTGATTTTGGTCCATTTCAGATTTTTAAATTCATACCTACCTATGCAAATATTCCAGTATCAAAAAGCTCTGAAGTCAGAACTACTTCTGGTCCTCCAGCATTCTGGATAAGGGAGGTACATCCTGTGAGCTCATAACTTGAGAGAGGGGTACATAAAGTGTTGGGAGAAAGGGCGAGAACTGCATTTCAGGTTGGACAGCCAAGGAAGATATCTCTGAGAACATGATGTATGAGGAAAGACATGAAGGAGTAGGAGAAACAGCATACCTTTTATTTTTTGTACTGAGTTACATTCCCAGCTACTTCTTTAAAATTTTTTTAATCAGCTCATTTTTTATTTTAAAAAAAAAATTTAACTTTTGAGACAAGATCTGGCTAAGCCACTAAGTTGCCAAGTTTGGTCTTGAACCTGTGATTTGCCTGCCTCAGCCTCCCAAACTGCTGAGATTACAGGTCTGTGCTACCACACCCAGCTCAGGAATACTAGTCTAGACCTGCATAATGCTGATATGATAAAAAAAAAAAAAGAGTTTTTAGACAGAATGTGACAGTAAAGCCAGCAGGGTTTCCTTATAGTTTCGACACAGAATGAGGAAAGAGAGAAAAGTCAAGGTTTGGGGCCAAGGAATGAGGAAAGAGAGAAAAGTCAAGGTTTGGGGCCTAAACAGTTAAAAACGATGGGGTTGCCAGGAATAGAAAAGATTATTGAAGGAGCTGGTCTGTGGCAGGGGAGAGGATTTCGTTTTTGATGTGTTATGTTTAAAATGCCTACTTGGATATCCAAGTAGAAAAACCAAGGCAGCACTACATTTAGTACAAAGGTCTGTAGTTGAGAGAAGAAATGTGGGCTACAGATACAAAGCTTTAGCACATAGGCAGTATTTGGTGCAATGAAGTTTGGTGAGACCATCTAGGGGGCAAACCTAGGTAGAAAAAAGGACAGAGTCATGGTTTGGGCTTGAGTCACTCCAGAAACGCAGAGGGAGATTGGGACAAACCAGCAAAACAACTGGCAAGCGGCACACAGCGAAGTAGGTTGAACCAGGAAGTATGTTTTTTTTTTTTTTTTTTTCCTGGAAGCCAAATAAAAAAATGTTTCAAGGAAAGAGCAGTCAGCTACCTCAAATACTGATGACAGGTTGAGACTTAAGACTTAAGACGTCCATGCCCAGCAACAAGGACGTCTTTGAAGAGGAAGCAGAGCCATTCTGGAGGGCAGAGGACATATGATGGTGACTATTTTTGCTAGGGTTTCCTCTCAAGAGAACCAGAGGAGAGAAACTGGAGATGACAGGTTCAGACAAGCCTCTGAGAAAGAGGGTAGCAGCAGAAAAGGGCAATGGGCCATCAAAGGCTTTTTAAAACTTGTCTGAAGATGGCAGAAAAGCATGTTCATACGTCAGTGAGTGTGATTCAAAATGATTTCACCAGTATTTTAAGTCAGAAGAGACAGAAGCTAGCAGAGGTGGAAAAACTATAATTGCCTACAGCATCCATTATACTGGAAGACAGCTTGAGTTCTGGAGCAGATGAGGGGTGTCAAAGGTACTGGTGCAATGTACAGTGTACTATTCTAACTGCTTCGGGGCTGGGGATTTAGCTCAGCGGCACAGCGCCTGCCTGGCAAGTGTAAGGTCATGAGTTTGATTCCCGGTACCGGAAAAAAAACAAAAAAAACTATTTTAACTGCTTCAATTTTCTTGGTAAACTAGGAAATGAGGTGGTTAGTTGTGAGGGTGAATGAGTAGGAACTGAAGGTGTAAGGGGAAAGAAGTATAATAATAGCTGCTTAGGAATCAATTAATTATGCAAAAGATTCAATAAGCATACATATTATCTGACAGAAAATTTGAATAAAAAACTCGACACCACAGTCTTCCCCCAGATCATAAGCCAATGGTGTGTTCCATTTCCAGGTGAGATTTGGCTCTAATTCCTCTGCGTGTGCACCTGTGCTGGAATAACTGACGATTACACTTATGGCCCTTGGGTGCTACTATATTCAAAAATTTCAAGGAAAATCAAATAATATGCAGGATTGTGTGTTTAAGGAGGCAGGAAAATTTGTACCATTTTATTTGGAAAGACACAAGTTTTCAATCAAATTCAGGATACTAAAACACTACATCTTATGTCTCAGACAAGAGACACCCTGTTCATACTGTGCTTGCAGAAATCAAGGGATACACTGTGGCCAGAGTGATGTGACTATTTCAGTTAGTATTTACACTCGTCACCTGAAAGTACTGGGAAGATGAATGTCTGCATTACCAGTATTTAAGACCAAGAAACAAAAACATGCAAAGGACTTCCGAGTACCTTTTCATCCCCGTCTGAACCTGTCACTTGTTCACTGACGTTTCCAAGTTCTTCATTTGCAGAGGTTTCATTAGTAAGTTCTAAAGAAATGTTTGTACCTTTGGAATCATGTTTTATCTCTTTTGCTGAAAAGAAATAATATTCTACTATAGAAACTTTAAATGAAATAACCAAATCATTCAAAACTTCTAAAAAAAAGAATACAGAGGATCTTCAGGTCTAATGTGACAA